ATGGCCGTGCATGGGGAGAGGCTCCCGCAGCCCAGGGGAGGAGGGGACATCGATCCCAGGCCAGGAGGAGGAGTTGATGGGGAGCACGGATCCATTGCTATGCCTGCACCTACTTGGGGTGTGTGGGGACCCCTCTTCTAGCAGCCCACGCGGCCGTACATGCAGGCACGGAGCGAAATCGTCTGTGAAAGCTCTGCCCCATCCAATTAAATGAAAGGTAAGAGCGAGGCAAACAGGATATTTCCCCTCTCTTTGGTAGCACAGTTGGTGACGGTCCCCCCCCGCCAGGGTGTGAGGATGGGGAGGGACCGGAGGCAGCCACCGCCAAGCTCCCGCAGCCCCGAGCGGCGCGGGAAAGGCAGGCAGCGAGAGCTCCGTCCCCCGGGGCTTCGCACAACATCAGGCCACGGAAACATGCTAATTAACACGGAGAAACGTGTTAGAGGAGAGATGTCTTTCCTTGTCATTGGGAAACTTCAAAAAGAGAGAGGCTTGGCCCTGTGTAAGCACAATGCAGGCTTTGATATGCTGCCTGCCTCTAGCCGGGGTTACGGTTTTTGCTCTGAAGGATTGTGAGAAGTGAAGAAGAGGAGGTTAGACCCCATACGTGCCGTAGGCTGGTCGTGTCGGTGTGCTTTCTAAAGGGGTCACTCCCCTAAGGGGGGTGACCGATGGGAATAGGCTGGAGCCTGTGGTACAGGGATGTAATTATTGGGAGAGGAGGAGAGGAGATGGTGTGCTGGCCTGCCTGGGTCAATAGGGGAAAAAAAAAAAAAAACATGAAAAAATATTATTTTTTTAAAATGAACGCTCAAGATTATTTCAGCAGGTTAAATCCCCCCCGTCTTTCTCTGCCACAGCACGCTGGGTTAAGCTGGTAGTGGGAAGGAGGGGGTGCGCAGAGGGGAAGCTGCCTTTGCTGGTGTCATGCACCTGATCAAAAGAAAAGGAGAAAGGGAATGTTTGAATGGCCTGAACTTGGTTGTGTGTGTGTGTGTTAATGGAGCAGTCAGGAGCAGTGATACTGATTCATAAGAGGTGAAGCAGGCGCTTCCCCCATCTTAGGCCAGGGCATGCGTTGGAGCCAGCCTTAGCTCGCCTTTCCCCACATCCCCAGGGCTCTCCTACCTTCTTGGAGAGCCTGGGACTGGGGTGAAACCTTCTCCCACCTCCTTCCCTGCACGCTGGGAGCCGAGCCGCCTGTTGTTTGACGCTAGTAAATCACCCACCCCGCGCTTTTCCACCCGCCGCCGCAGCAGAGGAAAGGTGAAGCGGGTCTCGGGCACCGACAATTTGCTCTTATTACCTTTGTGTGTTTTATTTATTTACTATAAAGCGGTATAGGATGGCCATCATTACCGCATCAGGGCGACAGCTGAGATAGATGGCTCTCGGTTTTAGCGCGTCGTTCAGAGCCGGGAGTCGGCACGATGTTAATTTTTATTGCCAGAGGTAGCCATAAATTGATAGTACACAATGGCTGTAGGGACTGTAATTAAGTAGTTACTATTTCACCTCCAAAAGGAGCGATGTTTCACGCTCTTACTTTTTACTTATCGGGAATCAGCTGCTGTCAACCTGCGCTGAAGCCCATATATGGGAGGTAAATATTGACTAATGGGCAGCTTGGCTTAATGTTCACCTTGAAGGACAATAAATTGTGCTATTGATCGAAGGCAGATGTCAATATCTGCATTGTTGTAAACATTTTAATAAAATTATCCCCATAAAATATTCCCTTTCCCTGGCCGATCCCGCTTAGTCGGAGAGGTGCCGCGTCACGGCGTCGCGGGGCAGGGCAGCGCCCGGGGACCGGCCCTGGCACGTCGGGCATCCGGAGTCCATGGGGAGACCCAACCCGGTACAGGATGGATGCTGGGGTTGAGCTTTAGAGCTGGAAATATTGCAGGTTGGCTCTGGTCCGAGGCGCAGGGAGTTGGTAC